CTATTATAAAATGTTTCAGATGTATAAAAAGACTTTAACATGAATGTTACAAATACAGTTATATTTAAGAAAGAAAATAAGATGCCATTAAAGACTTCTCTGTACTCCTGTCCAGTTGAAATCTCCCCTGTCCTCCAGATTATCTATCTCAGTTTGTTGTATTTCATTCCCATCTGTGTCTTTATACATAGGCATATGTTCCTAAATAATATATAATGGAACATAGAAGGTTATATGGTATTATCTTGGATGTTTTAAAGCTTCATGTAGTTCTGAACAAAATACTAACAAACTGAATCCAACAACATATAAAAAGGGACATGAAGTAGTGGGTTTTATTCCAGGAAAGTAAGGTTAGTTCATCAAATAAAAATCAGTTTAATACATTGTGTTAATAAAGGCTAAAAAACCACATGATCATCTCAGTACAGGCAGAAAAGCATTTTGACAGTCCAACCTCCTCTCATGATAAAAAATCATTCAACAACTAGGAATAGAAGGAAGCTTCCTCAACTTGATTAAGGGCATCTACAAAAGACATAGCTAGCAGCATAGTTTAATGGTGAGGGACTGAAAGGTTTTCTCTTAAGATCAGGAATAAGACAAGTATGTCTCCTCTCACCACTTCTGTTCAACATTGTACTGTTCAACAACATTTTTTTTTTAAACTGCGAAAGATCATTGCAAGAATTTTTAAAACATAAATGGGCAGATAAGCTGTGTTCATGGAATTGAAGATGATTGTGAAGATAGCAGTACTAGTCAAACTGATCTATAAATTCAATACAATCCTCATCAAAGTCTTAATTAGTACACTATTTTGTGCAATTTGACAAGCTGATCCTGATACTCATATGGAAATGAAAAAGACCCAGAATGGTCAAAACAGTTTTGAAAAAGGAGGACAAAGTTGGAGGACTCTCTCTTCCTGATTTGAAAACTTATTACCAAGCTATAGTAATTAAGATGATATGGGGGGTGCTTGGGTGGCTTAGTCAGTTAAACATTGGACTCTCGGGGCGCCTGGGTGGCTCAGTCGGTTAAGTGTCCAACTTCGGCTCAGGTCAGGATCTCACGGTTTGTGAGTTTGAACCCCGTGTCGGGCCCTGTGCTGACAGCTCAGAGCCTGGAGCCCGCTTTGGATTCTCCCACTCTCTGCCCCTCCCCCACTTGCACTCTGTCTCCGTCTCTCAAAAATGAATAAATGTTAAAAAAAAAAATTAAAACAAAACATTGGACTCTTGATTTCAGCTTAGATCACCATCTCACAGTTGTGGGAATGAGCGCCGTGTTGGGCTCCACACTGCGTGTGGAGCCACTTGGGATTCTCTCTCTCACTCTCCTTTTCCCTTTGCCTCAAACCCATTTACCCTCTCTCTTAAATAAATAAATATTAAAAAAACATATATGGTACTGGCATAAGGATGGATAAATAAATTGTTGGAATAAAATGGAGAGTTTTAGAAATAAACCCTTATATTTATGGCCAGTTGATTTTCAAAAAAAGTGCCAGACAATTCAGTGAGGAAAGAATAGTCTTCAGATGGGTCTGGGACAACTGGAGAGGCACATTCTAAATAATGAATTTAGACCCCCTGCCTCATACCATACACAAAAATTAACTCAAAATGGATCAAAGTGTAAACTAATACTAAAGCTTTTTTTTTAATACTAAAACCCTTAGAGGAAAATATAGGCATGAGTCCTTATGACTTTGGATTAGGCAGTAATGGTTTCTTAGCTGTAACTCCAAAAACACAGGCAATCAGAGAAAAAATAGGTGAATTGGATTTCATCAAAATTAAAAACTTTTGTGCATCAAAGGTCACTATCAAAAAACTGAAAAGATAACCCAAAGCAATGGACAAAATAGAAATTATATCTGATAAGGGACTGTTATTGAGAGTATATAGAAGAACTCTTACATTTCAACAATAAAAAAATGCAATAAAATAACAGTTTAAAAATAGGCAAAGGGGCGCCTGGGTGGCTCAGTTGGTTAAGTGTCTGACTTTTTTTTTTTTTTAACGTTTATTTTTGAGAGACCGAGTGCAAGCGGGGGAGGGAGACATGGAATCTGAAGCAAGCTCCAGCTCTGAGCTGTCAGCACAGAGCCTGAAGCAGCCTTGAACTCAGGAACTATGAGATCATGACCTGAGCCAAAGTCAGACGCTTAACCAACTGAGTCACCCAGGTGCCCCCAAATGTCTGACTCTTGATTTCGGGTCACGTCATGATCCCAGGGTTCCTGAGATCAAGTCCTATGTAGGGCTTTGGGCTGACAGTACGGAGCCTGCTTGGGACACTCTCTCTCTCTCTTTCTCTTTCTCTCTCTCTCTCTCTCTCTCTCTCTGCCCCGCCCCCACATGCGGTGCATATGTGCTCTTTCTCTCAAACATTTAAAAATAGGCAAAGAGTTCCATAGCTGTTTCTCCAAAGAAGATACGCAAATTGCCAATAAGCACTTGAAAATATGCTTAGCATCATTAGGCCCTGGGGAAATATAAATCAAAGACCATACTGAGATATGCTTCTCACACCCACTAGGATTGCTAGAACCATGAAGATAGACAATAACAAGTGTTGGCAAGCATGTGAAGCAGTTGGAACCCTCATACGTTGTTGGTATGAATATAAAAATGGTGCAGCTGCTTTGGAAAATAATTGGGCAGTTTCTCAAAAGGTTAAACATAGAGTTGCCATGACCCAGCAAATTCGATCCTAGGAATCTACCCAAGAGAACTGAAAGCTGTGTAGAACTGTGTCTACATGAAAACTTGTACACAACTGTTTATAGCATTATTATTTTAAACAGCCAAAAAGTAGAAACTTACTTAAGTGCCCATCACCTGATGAATGGATAAACAAAATGTGATGTATCATTCAGTGAAATAGAAGTATTCAGCCAAAAAAGAGGGGAACAAAGTACACCATGAATGAACCTTGAAATTATGCTGAGTGGAGGGACGCCTGGGTGGCTCAGTCGGTTAAGCATCCTACTTGAGCTCAGGTCATGATCTCGTGGTTTGTGGGTTTGAGCCCCACATCGGGCTCCATGCTGACAGCTCAGAGCCTGGAGCCTGCTTCAGATTCTGTGTTTCCCCTCTCTCTCTGCCCCTCCCTCCCTCTCTCTGTCAAAAATAAACATTTAGGGGCGCCTGGGTGGCGCAGTCGGTTAAGCGTCTGACTTCAGCCAGGTCGCGATCTCGCGGTCCGTGAGTTCGAGCCCCGCGTCAGGCTCTGGGCTGATGGCTCAGAGCCTGGAGCCTGTTTCCGATTCTGTGTCTCCCTCTCTCTCTGCCCCTCCCCCGTTCATGCTCTGTCTCTCTCTGTCCCAAAAATAAATAAACGTTGAAAAAAAAATTAAAAAAAAAATAAACATTTAAAAATTCATAAGAAAATATGCTGAGTGGAAAAAGCAAGACACAAGGGACTATATATTGTATAGTCTTTATATTAATTGTCCAAAATAGACAAGTTCATAGAAATGGAAAATAGATGAGTGGTTGTGGGAGGTTATGGGAGTAAGTGACTGCCAGTGGGTATAGTTTTTTGGGGGGATGATGAAAATGTTTTGGAATTAGTGATAATGGTTACACAACCTTGTGACTATACTAAAAGACATTGAATTATATGCTATAAAATGATGATTCTTCTGGAATGTGAATTATATTTTTAAAAGAGGAGGAAAAATATGTAATTATATAGGTTTTTATAATCAACCCTTTGAGGTAGGTGCTGTTATTATCCCCATTTTACAGATTAAGAATACAGACTGGTCAAGTAATTTAATGTTTTGGTGAATGAATGTTGGACTGGGATTCAAACTCAGGAAGTCAGGTTTTTATTCATTTTATACTGCTTTAAACCCACACCTTTTTTTTTTTAATTTATTAACAATTTAAATTTATTTATTTATTTTTAATATATGAAATTTATTGTCAAATTGGTTTCCATACAACACCCAGTGCTCATCCCAAAAGGTGCCCTCCTCAATACCCATCACCCACCCTCCCCTCCCTCCCACCCCCCATCAACCCTCAGTTCTCAGTTTTTAACAGTCTCTTATGTTTTGGCTCTCTCCCACTCTAACCTCTCTTTTTTTTTTTTCTCCTTCCCTTCCCCCATGGGTTTCTGTTAAGATTCTTAGGATCCACATAAGAGTGAAACCATATGGTATCTGTCTTTCTCTGTATGGCTTATTTCACTTAGCATCACACTCTCCAGTTCCATCCACGTTGCTACAAAAGGCCACATTTCATTCTTTCTCATTGCCACGTAGTATTCCATTGTGTATATAAACCACAATTTCTTTTTTTTTTTTTTTATTTAAAAAAAAATTTTTTTTTTTCAACGTTTATTTATTCTTGGGACAGAGAGAGACAGAGCATGAACGGGGGAGGGGCAGAGAGAGAGGGAGACACAGAATCGGAAGCAGGCTCCAGGCTCCAAGCCATCAGCCCAGAGCCTGACGTGGGGCTCGAACTCACGGACTGCGAGATCGTGACCCGGCTGAAGTCGGACGCTCAACCAACTGCGCCACCGAGGCGCCACTAAACCACAATTTCTTTATCCATTCATCAGTTGATGGACATTTAGGCTCTTTCCATAATTTGGCTATTGTTGAGAGTGCTGCTATAAACATTGGGGTACAAGTGCCCCTATGCATCAGTACTCCTGTATCCCTTCTATAAATTCCTAGCAGTGCTACTGCTGGGTCATAGGGTAGGTCTATTTTTAATTTTCTGAGGAACCTCCACACTGCTTTCCAGAGCGGCTGCACCAATTTGCATTCCCACCAACAGTGCAAGAGGGTTCCCGTTTCTCCACATCCTCTCCAGCATCTATAGTCTCCTGATTTGTTCATTTTGGCCACTCTGACTGGCGTGAGGTGATATCTGAGTGAACCCACACCTTTCTTATGCAAGTCATTGTGTGGACATTTCATTTCACAGGTTAATTACAACCACCTGCACCATTCCTTTTGTTTTTCTTTGCAGATCCATTGATGAGATGAAGCGGTTGGAGGAAATGTCACATGTGTTTCAGCGCTCTGGAGTTGAACGCCACCCTTCAGAACCAAAATCCCAGACAGAAGGGAATGAAGATTTAGGGGGCAAAGAGCAGCCATGGGAAATGGTGATGGATAAGAAACACTTTAAGCTGTGGCGGCGCCCTATTACAGGCACTCACCTTTACCAGTACAGAGGTGAGCCCATCTTGGCTGCCTTGTGTGTTCCATGGTTGCCCAGGTGTGCAGGACTTTTGTTCCTTATCCTCTCTAAACTGTTCTTTTCTGATTCTTGATCAGAAAATTTACCATGGTTTCTTGTTTTTGTTTTGCCTCCCCCAGATGACAAGTATCTCAGTGTCTTCATTGCTATACTTTGCTGTAGGTTGTCTTTGTCTTACTTTGCTGTCCCAATATGATAATCTAGTTTTTGAATCTGCCTTTTATTTTTCTATAGCAAATGTTTTTTTGTTGTTGTTGATGTTTATTTATGGGGGGGGGAGGGGCAGAGAGGGAGTGAGAGAATCCCAAGCAGGCTCCGCTGTGTCAGCACAGAGCCCCATGTGGGGCTCCATCTCAGGAACCCTGGAGTCATGACCTGAGCTGAAATTAAGAGTCGCCTAACTGACTGAGCCACCCAGGTGCTCCTGAATCTGCCTTTAAGATCTGTCTGTACTCTATAATTGGAATGCAGTTAAGTGATAGGAATAAGGCAAGTGATGGGGATGTGGCATTAATCCCTTATTCTTTGTTATGTCATTCTAGTTTTTGGAACCTACACAGATGTGACACCCCGGCAGTTCTTCAACGTTCAGGTGAGTAAATTTTTCTTCCCAGATTTGGAGCTTCTAAGCCTGGAAATCCACTGCAAACTGTCCACATGAATAATTTTTTTAACTCCGAAGACATTGGCTTCAGTACATCTGTCTATTTTTGTATCCTTCTCCTGTCAAATAGCATCTAGGTAGACATTGGACTTACTCTTTGTCCAAGGGGATGAGACTGATTCTATCCTTTTACAGGGCTGTTGGGAAGATCAAATAGAGAAACGAATTGAATGTTTTTAGTATTTTATAAGGTGTTACAGTTATTTTTTCCTAAACAATTTAAGGGTAAGTTACATACGTGTCCCTTTATTCCGAGATCCTTCAGTGTGTATTTCCTAAAACTAGACATATTCTCCTAACTGTGGTGCCATTATGAAAGTCTCTAAATTTAACATTGATGCAGCTCTTATACTCTTTTTTTTTTTTTTTTTTTTGCAACTCTTCTACTCTTGTTTGTATTCCAGTTTTTATTTATTGACCCGATAATGTTCTTTACAGCATTTTCCTCTTGAGTGCAGATCCAATCAGGATTTAGTAATGTGGAATATTGCCACAGTGAAGCTATTTATTTAGTAAAGATGAAGAGTATTCAAAGACTCCTTTCTTCCTTGGGTGGAAATGTACGAAAAGGGGAGGTGGGATCACCTAGAGTTGTATAAAAAATTTTTTTTCCTTCTTGGATTTTTCACTGTTTTATCAGGCTTTCAGTAACTAATTAATGATTATAATACTCACTAATAATATGCAAGTGCTCACTTCCCCCCAAACACTGAATTTTGTTAATTTATATGGAGTTTTTGTTGAGTTTGGATGTGCATGATATGTCTTATTTTGAAATTCCCTAGTTACAAGTGATGCTAGAAATTTAAAAATACGCTGCCTGCATTTCTTTTTGTGAAGTGTTGCTCATACTTTTGGGCTTTTTGTCTGTTTAAATCTTTAAAAATTTGTTTTACCCTTGTACATTTGTATGTCACTGCCTATTAAATTTTCCCTAAACATGTCTATCACAATATTTTTTTCTTATATTTTCCTTTGCTTTGCCTTTTTATTTTTTATTTATTTATTTATTTATTTTTTCAACGTTTATTTATTTTTGGGACAGAGAGAGACAGAGCATGAACGGGGGAGGGGCAGAGAGAGAGGGAGACACAGAAACGGAAACAGGCTCCAGGCTCTGAGCCATCAGCCCAGAGCCTGACGCGGGGCTCGAACTCACGGACTGCGAGATCATGACCTGGCTGAAGTCGGACGCTTAACCGACTGCGCCACCCAGGTGCCCCTGCTTTGCCTTTTTAAAAAAATATTTGAGAGAGAGAGAGAGAGCGAGCGGGGAGGGGCAGAGAGAGGATCCGAAATAGGCTCCATGCAGTCAGTGCAGAGCCTAACGTGGGGCTCGACCCCATGAACTATGAGATCATGACCTGAGCCAAAATCAAGAGTTGGTTGCTTAACTGACTGAGCCCCCCAGGCACCCCTGTGCTTTGCCTTTCTTTAGTAAGATTCACTTCCAAGATAATGCTGTTGGCCTATAAGAAAGGATTTTGAAAGAGTTGTCTAAAATAAACACAGCTGTGTTTTTCATACTTTGCCACTTTTAGGTCAGGTTTCCATTTCAGAATAAGATCCTTGGGTCAGAGGTCCAAGCATCTGGAGAAGTCTTCTGCAGCTTTGTTGTGAATTTCTTAGGTCTTGACAGTCTCTTCTCTTTCTCCAGCTGGATACAGAGTATAGAAAAAAGTGGGATGCCCTGGTAATCAAGCTGGAAGTGATTGAGAGGGATGTGGTTAGTGGTTCTGAGGTTCTTCACTGGGTAACCCATTTTCCTGTGAGTATTTTCGTTACTATTTTTACTTTTATCACATCCATGTGAGGCAGAACACTAATTCTGCCTATTCTTTCCTTTAGTATCCAATGTATTCCCGGGATTATGTTTATGTTCGACGGTATAGCGTGGATCAGGAAAACAACGTGATGGTGTTGGTGTCACGGTATGTGTGGTTACTTGTGGCTCCTCCTGAGATCCTTTAGCTGTGTCCTTCATAGATGTCTGGTGGGAGTTTGCATGGTCTTGTTAATAGGGGTGCTGCTAGGACCCCATCCATCCCAGCTAGAACACGAGTGGGCTTTGACTGGTGACAGTCTAGGAAGATAGAAGGGATGTAAGCTTTTCATTAAACCATTTCTTTAACCTTAATATTGATAATTAGAAAAATAAGTGCTTTTTTCTTCAACACAAAGGTTACAAAGCCTAGGAATCACCAAGGAAACTCACATTGTTTTTAGAACTTAGTTTGTATTCATTCATCTTGGTGACTCTCTGTTTTATTTTAAAAATTAGAGTCAGCTTTTTAGATTTTCCCCTTAACTTTAGCTCTTACGCTGTTTCGTATGTAAACATTACTGAGTTTCCTTAACTTTTCTCCTTACCAGTGCTGTGGAGCACCCTAGTGTTCCAGAGTCTCCAGAATTTGTAAGGGTCAGATCGTATGAATCCCAGATGGTTATCCGTCCCCACAAGTCATTTGATGAGGTGAGTTTTACATCATCCGAGAGATGATGTGTAGGTGCTATGGGATTTTCTCAAGGAATGCCTTTTGTCTGAACTGGGAAGGGCAATGGTTCTCAAACTTGGCATGCATCAGAGTCCACTGGAGCTTGTTAACATACAGTGCTGGGGTGTGACCCAAGAATTCTCATTTTTAAGAGGTCCCAATGTGATACTGCTGGTTTGAGAACCATTGCTGTAGGGTGATAACACCTGGAAGATCCTCCAGGACAAAGTTCTGATGACCCATGATTCCTGTTTGTATGAGAGACAGGAGAAGACGACGGCCTGTTAGCGGCATTCTTTGGGAACTGAAGGAGCATCTTTTCCATCAAAATTTCACCACAATGGGCAAAACATTTGAAACCTTTCTGGATTTCTGTTTCCTTATCTGTAAAATGAGAGGGTTAAAATAATGTTCTCAGCTTTCTTTAAAATTCTGTGACCTTTCTTTGCGAAGAATTTTTTTTTTCAATGTAGGGAATTGCTTTTTTTTTTTGTCGTCAAATCTATTGAGTTTACTACGTATTGATTCCAGTGGTTGCTGGTTTTAGTTGTATTTCACTTTACAATTAAAGGCTTTGTTTCTTTCCATTACTTTTATTTTTGAGCTGGATGAACTGTGTGTTAGTATGGTTTTGTTTTCAACAAGTTGTTCTATTTATACTGCCTGACGTGGGACTTTAAATATGACAGAAATGGTGGTTCACTTCAGTTAATGTGGTGATTGACTCTTTTTAACTGGGAGATCTGTGTGTTTACTTGTATACTATTTTTAGAACAGTATTTTTCAAACAGATTGCTGCCCATTAGTGGAAGACAAAATTACTTTAGTGCATTATGACCAGCTGAAAAAAAAAAAAGAAAAGAAAAAATATACGGAGTAGAAATCATCTGAGTGTAAGCATATTTCATGAGACTTGTTTAGGTACATAAGGATGTATGAATGTGTGTGTATGAGGCTGAGAGAGAACTGGTTGCAGTGTAAAAAGTTTATTTACAGTGTGTTGTAGTTAAAAAGTCCTTTAGAACTTTAGAAAATAGAAAAGAAGTAGTAAGGCTACTTAGTGTCCATGGCTAGTTGCCTTTAGGAAGGGGAGCCTGGGTCAGGCTGGAGACCGTGTGGGAGACAGACTTAGGTCTCACTCTTTTCCTTTAAAATTTTAACCTTGCCCCCCATATATTTCCTATTGGGAAAAAACTGACTTGAGTTCCAGCATTGCTACCTTTAGAAACCATGACCATGAAATAGCTAAGGCATCGTTTAGCACCTAGCCGAGTGTGTTGTATCTAGCAGGGGCCCAGTAAATAATTTCTTTCAATTGGGGTAGGGGAACAATAGAGATTATCTATATAATTCTTTTAGTATATTGGTGGCAAGCTCTTATGAAAAAGGTAAGATTTGAGTGGGGTCTCTTGAAAAGGCAGACTGGATAGAGGAAAACAGGAAGCGCCCTGGGAGCAGACACGGCATGATTTATCAAAGACAAAGACAAAAATGAGCCATGAATAGGTTCAGAGACTCACCACTTAGAAAGGAAAGTTGAGATTAGGGAGGAGTGATAAGTTAACATTGACCATGTAGATAGAATACTTGAAAACCAGGCAGCTGCATTTGGACTTGGCAGATGGAAAATAGATCCTTGAGCCAAGGTATGGTGTTTTATTTGTTTTACTTTTATATATATTTCAAATTTTCCCTAATTAAAAGATAAAGAGGGGCACCTGGGTGGCTTGGTCGGTTAAGCGTCTGACTTCGGCTCAGGTCATGATCTCACGGTCCGTGAGTTCGAGCCCCGTGTCAGGCTCTGTGCTGACAGCTCAGAGCCTGGAGCCTGTTTCAGATTCTGTCTCTCTCTCTCTGCCCCTCCCCTGTTGATGCTCTGTCTCTCTCTGTCTCAAAAATAAATAAATGTTAAAAAAAAAATTGAAAGATAAAGAAGTAGAAAGAATCATGTTGATGAACCTTCTGTATCCATTCCCAGCTCCAACAGTGATCAACTCATGGACAGACTTATTTTATCTATATCCTTTCTTGTCCCTTTTCCTGCTCTCCTGATTATTTTGAAACAGTTTCTTGCTTTACTATAGAAGAACCCATAGAAGAATTCTTCTATAGATATTTCAGTATTTATCTCAAAAAGAAAAAACATTTTTGAAAATATAACCTCGTGTCATAATGATCCCTAATATCAAATAATCTAGTTAGTGTTCATATTTTCCTGATGGTCCATGAATTTTTTTGTAGTTGGTTTATTTGAATCAGGACTCAGTTGGCTCAGGTCATGATCTCCCAGTTGTGAAATGAAGCCCTGCGTCAGACTCTGTGCTGGGCATGGAGCCTGCTTTAAAAAAAAAAAAAAAAGTTTGGGCACCTGGGTGGTGGCTCAGTTGGTTAAGTGTTGAGTCTTGGTTTTAGTTTTGGTTGTCTTTGGTTTCTGTCTCTGTCTCTCTCAAAATAAAAAAATAAATTAAAAAAAAGTAAATATCTTTTTTTTTTTTTCTTATTTATTTTGAGAGAGCACGAGCTGGGAGGGTCAGAGAGGATCCCAAGCAGGCTCTTTGCTGTGTGTGTGGAGCCTGGCACAGGGCTTGAACTCATGAACCATGAGATCATGACCTGAGCTGAAATCAAGAGTCGATGCTTGAGCCACCCAGGTGTGCCAAAAGATAATTGTTTGTTTTTTTTTTTTTTAATGTTTATTCGCTTTTTGAGAGACAGAGTGTGAGCAGGGCAGGGGGCAGAGAGAGAGGGAGACATGGAATCAGAAGCAGGCTCCAGGCTCTGAGCTGTCAGCACAGAGCCTGACGTGGGGCTTGAACTCACAGACAAAAAATATGATTCAGACTCTAGACATTTGAAACTTGTTCATATTATCTCTTGAGTCTTTTGAAGTCAGTATGTTTCCCCTCTTTTTTTTTGTTTTTTGTTTTTGTTTTTTTTGTTTCTTCTTGTTGTTGCTGTTTTGCAATTATATTTGTTGAAGAAGCAGGGGTTTTTTGTCCTGGATCTTGATGATTGTATCTCCATAGTATCATTTAATGTGTTCCTCTGTCCCTGTCCCCTGCCTGTATTTCCTGGGTATTGGTAGTTACTGTTCAAACCTCAGGCTTGAACAGATTCAGGCTGGTTGGTTGTTTTGGGCAAGACCACTGTATCAGACCCAGTTGATGACTGTTTCTTTCTTTGTGAATTTAGAAATGATTGGTGATTATGGCTCAGATCCGTTATTTCATTAGGGGTATAACAAATTGCTGGTTTTGTAATTCCTTTATTTTTCTTCATTTATTTCCACTTATTAATTGAAACACATTAAGGTATTTTCCTCACCAACTGTTTGGTTTTCTATAGTGCACATAGGAAAGGGAAGTAAGAGAAATGGTTGATTTGTTCCTTTATTTATGAGTTTCAAAATAATGCATTGGTCCTTTCAACCAGGGATCCTCCAAAGGTAAAGTTTTTATTTTTTTTGTTATAGACAAATACCATTAGTCTTTGCTGTAGAAGAACTGATAGAAGACTTGTAATGCTATTTTAGTTTTTGTTTTTGTTTTTTTTTTTCAAGTTAGTTAACATATAGTGTAATAATGATTTCAGGAATAGAAGTTAATGATTCATCACTTACATATAACACCCAGGGCGCATCCCAGCAAGTGTCCACCTTAATGCCCCTTGCTCATTTAGCCCATACCTCCCACCTAGCACCCCACCAGCAACCCCCAGTTTGTTCTCTGTATTTAAGAGTCTCTTGGATGGTTTGTGTCCCTCTCTGTTTTTATATTATTTTTGCTTCTCTTCCCTTATGTTCATCTGTTTTGTATCTTAAATTCCACATGTGAGTAAAATCCTAGGATATTTGGCTTTCTCTGCCTGATTTATTTCAAACAGCATAATACATTCTAGTTCCATCCACATTGTAGCAAATGGTAAGATTTCATTCTTTTTGATTGCCAGGTAATATTCCATTGTGTGTGTGTGTGTGTGTGTGTGTGTGTGTGTGTGTCTGTCTGTCTGTCTGTCTGTCTCTGTGTATCATAGCTTCTTTATTCATTAGTTGATGGACATTTGAGCTCTATCCATACTTTGGCTATTGTTAATAGTGCTGCTATAAACATTGGGGTGCATGGCCCCCCTTCAAATCAGCACTCCCATATCTTTTGGATAAATACATAGTAGTGCAATTGCCGGGTTGTAGGGTAGTTCTATTTTAAATTTTTTGAGGACCCTCACACTTTTCCAGAGTAACTACATCAGTTTGCATTCCTACCAGCAGTGCAAAAGGGTTCCCCTTTCTCCACATCCTTGCCAGCATCTGTTGTTGCCTGAATTTTTAATTTTAGCAATTCTAAATGGTGTGTGGTGGTATCTCATTGTGGTTTTGATTTGTATTTTCCTGATGATGAGTAATGTTGAGCATTTTTTCATGTGTCTGTTAGCCATCTGGAGGTCTTCTTTGGAGAAGCGTCTATTCATGTCTTTTGCCCATTTCTTCACTGGATCATTTGCTTTTTGGGTGTTGAGTTTGAGAAGTTCTTTATAGATTTTGAATACTAACTGTTTATCTGATCTGTTATTTGCAAATATCTTCTCCCATTCCATTGGTTACGTTTTAGTTTTGCTGATTGTTTCCTTCGCTGTGTAGAAGCTTTTTGTCTTAGGGTAGCTATTTCAGTTTTTAAACATGTTTGGTTAGTTTTAACCTATTGCAGTTATTCTTTTTCTTTTTTTCAGTTTGTTTATTTTGAGAGAGAGGTGCGAGCAGGGGGGAGGGGCAGAGAGAGGGAGAGAGAGAATCTGGAGCAGGCTCTAAGCTCTTAGCACAGAACCCAGTGTAGGGCTTGAACCCATGAACTGCAAGATCATGACCGGAGTTAATCAAGAGTTGGATGCTTAACTGACTGAGCCACTCAGGTGCCCCTACAATTATTGATACTCAGATTTGTCCCAATTTTGGCCATTAGGGGCCTCATCTTCCTGGCTTGAATCCTTTTGACTTGACCTCAGGGGTTCTTTTGTTTCCTGCTGTTATAAGATATCGTAGGTTCATCTTGTATAGGTTTAGCTGTAAACCTGAAATTAGCATTTCTTTAGGGAGTCCTGGTTCCTTTTAAGAAAATGTCATTTAAATACCAGGATTTGGGGGTGATGACTGGCTCAGTCAGTAGAGCATGTGATTCTTGATCTCAGGGTTGTAAGTTCAAGCCCCAGGTTTGGTATAGGGATTACTTGAAAATAAAATCTTTAAAAATAAATAACCAGAATTTGGTTTCTAGGAGTAATAGCTATTGGTTCGCTCATTGTTTTTAGGTCTTTTCAGAAGATAGAACTAAGTAATAAATTTTACTTGTTTGTTTTAAAGATAAATCTTAAATACATGCCAATACTTTTAATTCAAATTTCAGACTGGAGAGTTGTTTATTATTTTGTGTCTTACATCTATCATCTTTTCCCATGATGAGAAATTCAGTTCTTACCACTCCAAACATAACTACTCATTTGCTTTAACCTGAAATATACACAACAGCTTCAGAGTAATACCACAAAGATCACCAATAATGTGATGATTTTAAATTTGTGTATATATATATTTTTATCCTTAGGGTATGTACACAGGGTACAAAATAATTGAGTTTTAAAGTTACTTGAGAGGCACCTGGGTGGCTCAGTCAGTTAAGCATCCAAATTCAGCTTGGTTCATGATCTTGTGGTTTGTGGGTTTGAGCCCATGTCATCTCTCTGCTGTCAGCGTGAGCCCGATTTGGATCCTCTGTCCCTTTCTCCCTCTGCCCCTCCCCCACTCTCTCTCTCTCAAAAATAAACATTAAAAAAAAGTTTTTTATTACGTTTGTTTATTTTTGAGAGGCAGAGAGAGGGCATGAGTGGGGGAGGGGCAGAGAGAGAGACACACACAGAATCCAAAGCAGGCTCCAGGCTCTGAGCTGTCAGCCCAGAGCCCGACGCGGGGCTCGAACCCATGAACCGTGAGATCATGACCTGACCCAAAGTCGGTCATTCAACCGACTGAGCCACCCAGGCGCCCCCAAAAATAAACACTTAAAGTTATTTGAAATAGGTGTTCTCTTTGTGATTTTTCTTACTGACTCAGTTTGTAGTTGGGTTCCCTGTTTTCTACTTTACTTTTGATTTTTAGATACTGCTTTTTAAACTTAATTTTGTTTTATTAAATTATGAAAAAAATTTGTTTTTCCAAAGTGAAATTTATCAATAACTAGAGTGATTTTGCTTATATCCCTGTACCTTCCACCCAGTTCCTTCCTTCTTCTTATGGGTAATCATTGTTTTTGGTTTCCTTTTAAAACACGAGTAGTGGTGGATGAGAACCTGGGTCTCTTGACTTCTCAGCCCAAGTGTTTTATGGGAAGAATAAAGTCTTTTATATATATTAACTAATTTAGTCTTCTAGCCAACTTTGTGGTGGGTACTGTTACTGTTTCCACCGTACAGGTTTTACCTTTCCCTTCTCTTTACTTCCATAGTATTCATCTGTATCTCTGTTACGGCATCTATTCTGTTAATTGAAAGCTCCTGAGGGCAGGGACTAGCACATTTTTGTTTGCTCTGTCATACCCAGCACAGTGCCAATCACAGCAGACATTCAATATGTATTGAGTAAACGAATAAAAGATTAAACAGTCCATTCAGGAAAAAAAAGAACTTTGGTGTAAAAGCATGGGAATTTAGGGGCACCTGGGTGGTTTAGTCAGCTGAGCATCCCACTTTGGCTCAGGTCATGATTTCATGGTTTGTGAGTTCAAGCCCTGCATCGGGCTCTCTGCTGTTGGAGCAGAGCCTGCTTGGGATCCTTTGTCTCCGTCTTTCTCTTCGCCTCCCCTGCTTGTGCTCACTCGCTCTCTCTCTCAAAAATAAATACATAAACATTTTAAAAAATTGGTTTAAAAAAAAAAAAAACCATGGGAATTTAAAGTTGTAGTTCTGCCACCTGGAGTTGTGGCCACTCTGCTTTAAAAAGTACAGACATAGGAGCACCTGGGTGGCTCAGTGGTTAAGCGTCCGACTTCAGCTCAGGTCATGATCTTACAGTTCCTGAGTTGGAGTCCCATGTCAGGCTCTCTGCTGTCAGCACAAAGCCTGCTTCAGATCCTCTCTGTGCCTCTCTCTCTGCCCCTCTCCTGCTCACGCATGTACTCTCTCTCTAAAAAATAAACATTAAAAAAAAGTGCGACATAAGAGCGGTTATCTCTTACCCCTTTGGATGGAGTATGATCGGTTACTTCTCCTAGGATCAGGACACTTGTAAATCTCCTTAATTTCCTGTCCTTCACTGGAGTTAGGCAATGAGAGTGCTGAGCCAAAAAGAGAGGTGGGTGCAAGGACCCTGCAGTCAGAATTCTGGGTTCATCTTAGCTGTCATTGAGTATGTGGGTAACCTTGGGCAAAGCTCCTTTTTGCTCAGTTTCCCCCCCTATAAAATGGGGTAACAGTATCTACATTATAAGTTGAAATAGTTCCTGGCACACCATTAAGTGGTCTATAAAGGTTTGCTGGTAGTAGTAGCAGCAGCAGCAGCAGCAGCAGCAGCAGTGTGGCACAGTTTATATCATTTAAAAAATAATTTTTAAAAATTAAAAAAAATTTTTTTACATGTATTTATTTTTGAGAGAGCACAAGTGGGCGAGGGGCAGAGAGAGAAGGAGACACAGAATCCAAAGCAGGCTCCAGGCTCTGAGCTGTCAGCACAGAGCCTGATACGGGGCTCGAAAACTGTGAGATCATGACCTAAGCCGAAATTGGATGCTTAACCGACTGAGCCCCCCAAGCACCCCCGGGAGTTTTTTTTTAATGTTTATTCTTGAGAGAGAGACAGAGCACAAGTGGGGGAGGGGCAGAGAGAGGGAGACGTGGACTCCGAAGCAGGATCCAGCGTCCGAGCTGTCAGCACAAAGCCCGATGCAGGGCTAGAACCCATGAACCACGAGATTATGACCTGAGCCAAAGTCGGACACTTCACCAACTGAGCCACCCAGGCGCCCCAGAGTTTGTATCATTTTGATAAAGATTAGGACCTTTAAACATTTTGGGATATGTGTTGGGATTTTCAAAACCACTCCCAAAATTCACAGGAAGGACTCCTAGGACTCAGCATGTAATTGTACTCATGACTAAGATTCATTATATAGTCATGTAGTAAGGATACGCAGCTGGATCATAAGGGAAGAGACAGGCAGAGTCTGAAGGAATCCATGTGGAGGCTTCCTCTTGCTGTCTCCCGTGAAGGAGAGCACATTCTTCTAGCAACAAAAACATAGCAACAGGTATGTGATGTTTCTGCCCAGAGAAGCCCATTAGAGACTCAGCACCCAAGATTTTTATTCAGGGCTGGTCACATAGGGATTCTCTGCATAGCACATACCAAAATTCCAGATGTCCCCAGAAGGAAAACAGGTGTTTAGCGCAAACTGTATGATTGTTTGCACAAACAGACAAGACACACAGGGAGTCACCCTTACACTTAACTGTTGACTGGGAATACTCCGGGAGCCGAGTTCCCGGACACCACCCGAGGGCCAACCTTGTAGGGTGGCCCTTCTACGAATGGCAACCTCTGAGGTCTTCAGTATTAACGCTTTTCTGCGCAGGGTAAAAAATGACACTGTCTGCCCCAGAGTCCGATCATGATCATTCTGGGGTACTGGATATGGAAGCTATGGTGGGTCATTCAGGTATCATTATTTTTGCTGTACTTCTTTTTCAGAATGGCTTTGACTACTTGTTGACCTACAGTGACAATCCCCAGACTGTGTTTCCTCGCTACTGCGTTAGTTGGATGGTTTCCAGTGGTGAGTGGGCACTTGTATACAGGGCCTGGAACCTGGGCTGAGCATTTTGTTTTTCTCTAGCTCTTAATGGCAAGCAAGATTAGTGCTTGTCTCATGGGAGCACTGTTGGAGAAATTAAATATCTTTCCTGGTCCATTCTTGAATACTATGAAGACATTGAAGCCTCCAGCTGGGGTTCAGAGGGATGAGAGTTAGGGAGTCCCTGAAAGCAACATGTGCGTGCCCAGAAGGGAGTTTTAAGAACAGTTGCTTAGCTTTTATTCCTTAAATATGGACTGTGTATGTTAATGTGTTAACAATTTTTTTCTTTTTAGATAGTGTTGGAGGCCATACAATCTGGTGGAAAAAATGTGGTAGTTATAGGACAGTAACCTTGAGAAAGGGGCTACCATGTATCTTGACAAAGGCTACATATCACAGCTGTAACTGTACCTTTTTCTTCCAATTCCTTGTTTTAAAAAGCATCCTCATGTGATTTTCTTTCTTTTGCTTCTCTGTAGGCAGCTTCTGATACCTCAGGGGGAGAATGGAGAGACTAGGTGTTTGTGTTTGATATTTGTCTAAATAAAATTGGCAGATAATTAGGCTATGCTACTGATAAGCGGTGTTTTAATCACCTAAAAGCCTTATGCGGCTTGATCAGTACCCCTTTCCAAAGGATTTCCGAGGTCATGGATTGTTTTCACTCTGTATACATTTTAGGAGGCAGCTGTCACTCACAGGTTGTTGATTAGGCTGTGATCTCTATAAGAAAGGAATTTGGCTCCCTACCATGAAAGAAATAGGGCCTTCTAATTTTGAGCCTATTGTCAGTTTGTATTTCAGCCTACCCAGATTTTCCTCTCTCCCACCAGGCATGCCAGATTTCCTGGAGAAGCTGCACATGGCCACTCTGAAAGCCAAGAACATGGAGATCAAAGTAAAGGACTATATCTCATCTAAGCCTCTGGAAACGGGTAGTGAAGCCAAGGCTACCACCCCGTCTTCAGAGCGGAAGAATGAGGGTAGTTGTGGCCCTGCCCGGATTGAGTACGCTTGAAGGGTTTTGGGATGAGAAGGGACAGGCTGCTTTTAGCCCTGTCTCAGTTCCTTATCTGCTACAGAATGGGGACATGTATTAGAAAGCGTCTGCTGTAACCACCAGTGCAGGATGACTCAATAACTGGTGTCCGATTTCATTCAGAGCCCGTATTGCTCTTTATCAAAACAGGAGGAATCATCCATGAGGGCGTTGTCCTATTCTCAGGCCCAGCATTTTGAAATTCAGTATTTCATTGAGCTAATCTGGAACAAACCTCTCACCTCAGGCCAGAAGGGGACAACTTCTTTTCGCTTCCTGAGTAGTTTCCTCTGCCAACATTCCAGTTCTCACCATCGGTTCTGCAGCGCTTGGGATTTCCTTCAGTTCTGAAGGTCCAGCTGGAAAGTACAGTTGGCCAGTTGAGTCTTCAATGAGGGGTCATTGGGAGTGCTCTTGGTAACAGTCCTAGTGTTGAATGGATGTGAACTATTGCTTGGCAGTGTAAGTGCCTTGTCCTCACCCTGCTTCTATCTTTAGGGACATCAAGTTTGTACCAAGGAATTTCTGCCTCCCAAATACCACCCCATTGACTCGCCATCCCCCAAAGCAGTTTCCTTTGCATTGACCAGTTCTTCTCTATTCATGCCCTATATTAATTTGGATCATCGCCTCCTTCCTTAGTCCGTTTATCAAGAACACTGGGAAATGAATCCTTTCAGATGGTAGCTTTCTGTGTCATCAGTGTTTTGATAGGGTCAATGGTGATGCTCAAAATACCACACTTTAGGTTTGGGTTTTTTTTTTTTTTTTTTTTTTTTTTTAACCTTTGTGTCAAAACGTAGGAATTGGGAACTTGAGTAGGATTTCTCCATAGTCCTACTGTATAGAAAACACCATTTTGATTCAGGCATTATTTTTCACACTTCAGGTTTGACTGGATGCTGAGGACTTGTCCATCTTGGAAGGCTAAAGGCAGAGGAATGGGGGTTGGGCCACTCCCTTGGAGCTCTCAGAGCTGTAGACAAGCTGTGTGAAGAAATAGATGTAATCTTGCCCCAAATACTGATATAATGGGGATGTGGTTTATGTGACCCTTTTGTTCCTCTGCAAAGTTTTTCCTCCTCTTTTCAGAGTTAAAACGAAAGCAAACTACACTGTTTGGGTAAAGTCACAATCAGATGGTATCAGTTTGGCCTGGCTGATTTTGCTTATGGTCCTGCTGCAATCTGACAGAATAGGGATCAAGTTTTAAATACTCCCTTGTCTTTTTTCCGTAGAATTTAAACGGCTGGATTTTCCCCTTTTTTCCTACTTGGCTACCCTTTTGTGTTGTTGAAAAGGGATCTAAGCCTCAGATTGACTCAAACCTCTGGACATTTTTGTTGCCTGTTAAGTTTTGTGCCAAGGAAATAACTGCCCCCGTGTTTCATGTCTTGCCTTCTCTGAGTCATTGGCAGAACAGAGAGATGTGTTGAGTATCTCCAGCTTCTTTTCGTTGATCATTTCTCTCTTCTCATCCCCAGGACTTCACAGAAGCCAGGGAAAAGCTCCCTGGGCTATGTCTGAACTTAGCGCCTGTGATTGTTGGGGCATGGATGGTGGTGTGGGCAAGAGTGTGTGAGTGCACAGGTGTTAAGGAGCTACGTGTTGCTCATGTTCCTATTTTTGGCAACTTGACCCTATACTTGGGGTCAGTCTGTACAGTTACTTATGTCATTGTAATGATTTCACTTCTAACTGTGACATTTTTATCAAATGTGTGAATAAATACATAAAGATTGGTACAAGAGTGTTTGTCTTTGGACATGTGGTGGTGGGAAATCTTGTGTATTGGGCTTATGGTTTCTTCCTGATCAGAAAGTTGGAGTGTTTCTACTTAGGGTTGGCACATGGAAGCAGCAAGGTGTGGTCTGGGTAGGGGCTAACACAGAGCTAACCACCTTGCCTTGATTATGAGCCCTTTCCAGGTAGCCAGTTTGGCAAATGAAAACAAACCACCTGTTTCCACTTCGTTGTCTTGATCTACTCACCATCTCCTTTGCTTTTAAGGAAGGATCAACTTGAGGAAACAGTGTTTGAGCTTTGCTGACAGTGAAACTTGGGAGGGAGCAAGGAAAGGAGGAAAGGATTTGAGGAAGCCAGGTTTAGTGCGGGAGGCAGACCGGGACTTTGGCTGGAGAGGGAGGGTGGTGAGTTCAAACCCCACTTGGCCTGGTGGGAAGTAGGGTCACACAAGCAGTTCTGCTAGAGTGTAAATTTGTTGCAAGGCGACGGATAGATCGGAGACACTTAAGAGCGTAACGTGAACTTTGAGTTTATGTGTGATTCTGCCTGTGGGAAACACTACGTGAACACAAATGTACACCTGAAACATTAAGGCTCTTTTCTCCAAATTGTTCGGAGATAATCACTGGAAAGCCATGCCTGCTTGTAGACTACTTGTTAGGTGTTGTATGCTTATGGGTGCACATGTGTTTTTATAATCAGTTTGGAGAGTTGGTGACTCTGGCCTCCGCCCTGCTGCAGAGGCCCCTACACGTGGCATCCTTGACATCGTTCTCCAGATTCTGCATTAACACTTCCACTGAGAAGCATTTGAGTTCTTACAGAAAGCAACATTTCCATTGTTGGACAGTTCTAGCTTTCAGGAAGTCCTTTATGTTGAGACTAAACGTGCCACCTCAGCGTCTACCAGAATCAGTGGGTCAAGCCCTGTCTTTGGAACAACACAAGGAAAACATTTCCATGGGATAGTACTTCACATTCTTGAAGACAGTGCTCATGTGACCTTTACCCTTCCCCAGGTTTTCTGTTGCTAGCAGCTTCAAAAATCCTTCCAACTCTTTATTATGAAAATGTTTGAAAAATTGAAAAATAATAAAACTTTGTATGCCCTCCCCCTACCTTTGCTGGTTGTTAACTTATTATGGTGTGTGCTTTGTCTTTATATATAAATACACTTTGCTGTGGACTGAACTGTCTCCCTAAAATTCACATGCTGAAAGTCCTTATACCCAATGTGATAGTATTGGAAATGGGGCCTTTGGGAGGTGATTTGAATGAGATGAGGTCATGAGGGTGGAACCCTCCATGAACGGATCTGTCCCCTTATGAGAAGAGACCCCAAAGGTTTGCTTGTTCTCCCCTTCCACCGTTGTGCAGACAACAAGGTAGCCTGGCAAGCTAGGGGAGAGTGTTCGCACCAGGAACAGGATTGGCCAGCATCTTGAGCTTGGACTTTTAACCTGCATAACTGTAAGAAATAAAGTTCTGTTGTTTAAGCTACCCGGTCTATGTATTTTGTTCTGGTAGTCTGAGTAGAAGTTTTCATGACCATTTGAAAATAAGTTTCAAACATCATATTTCACCCCTAAACACTTGAGTATGCTTTTTTTTTTTTTACAGTGATGTTCTTTGTAACCACACTAACCAGTAGCACAGAGAATGTAATATCTAATAACTCACTCCATATTAAAATTTCCCCAGTTGTTCCCCCCCGGCCCCCCCCCCCCGCCCCGCCAGTGACTTAACAGTACCTCCCCCAAATCCAGGATCCAGTTAAATATCGAGTGTTGTGTTAGTCAGTAGCCAAGTAGCTAAGTCAACGGTAGCCTGCCCTTTGTAATGTAGCTTTCTGGGTGCTTCAGATGTAGTGCAGTGGTTCTCAAACTCGAGCTTTGAAAACTCCGTGCCAGGATCTCACCCCTGACCAATTACATCAGAATTGCTGAGGGTGTTATGGAATGTTAAAGCAATCAGAAGGATTAAAAATAGGCTGCAATCTCCCTTGATCTGCACACTTCTAATCCAGGCAAAGGTGTCATTAACTTGTCACCAGTCTTGTCACACTGTTGGCTTAGGTTGGGCTTGGGATCAGCTAATAATAGCCACCATTACTGAGCACTCATGGTTCCGGATACCGTGCTTCATGCATTCATGCAAGATCTCTAATCCTACTACAGCCCTGTGAGTATGTAGCTATCCTTGTCGTATAAGGAAGGAAATGGCATCAGAGGTTAAGGAATCTTCTTGCTCAAGGTTACACCGGAAGTGACGGCCAGGATGCAGACCTAGCTTTAACCTCTCCAAAGACCCCTCCAGCAGCATGTCTTCACACTTAGTTTCTCATAAATACTGTCCTGCTTGATTCCTTCCCAGGGTGGCTGACTTCTTTTGGAACCTGGATCATAGGGTTTCTTTTTATCTGTTCTTGTTAACTTTTACATGGCTTAAGCCTCCCCTTTACCCGCTAGTTACACCATCTAATTGCTAATTGTTCGGTGATGCTCTTTCTGGGAGTATCAGAAGCATAAATATTGGAGTGTCTGACTTGATTTCGGCTCAGGTCACGATCTCTCGTTTCATGGGTTTGAGCCCCGCCTTGGGCTCTGCACTGACAGTGTGGAGCCTGCTTGGGATTCTTTCTCTCTCTGCCCTTCCCCCGCGTGTGTGCTTGCATGCTGTCTCTCGCACCCTCTCTCAAAAAGAAGCATAAATGAAATTTCTATCTTGGAAACTTAATATATACCACTACAATGACATATGGGTTAATAAAGGGATAGGGGTGGTATTCTTGGGGGCATCTTAGGGTAGCATTTTCTAAAAATAGTTCCAAAGTAACCAATCTCTGTGCTCAGCATGGGAGCACAGGAGTCTGGAAATTTTCCTTTAACAATGAAAGTACTCTTCATAAAATCTGAGAATTCTGATTTCTCATAAACTTGAAAGAGTTAAAATTTACGGCACGTGGATGGAAGGGATTTTTTTTTTTTAAAGATTTTATATGTAAAGTAATCTCTACACCCAACCTGGGCTCTGGGGCTCGAAGTCACAACCCCAGGATGAAGAGTTGCAGGCTCCACTGACTGAGCCAGCCAGGTGCCCCTGGAAGTGATCTTAGTGTACAATGTATTTGTTCCTACAGACCTCAGTGGATACTTGCAGAGCATCATTCCAAAAGAAACCCCAGGCCACACACTGTCAGTTACTTTTAATAACCTCATGGTTGATTCTGTTCCACAAGTGCACTTAAAATTTTTTTCAGATAACTTAGAAATGACCTAACTTTAGCATCCACTTTTAAGGAGCCCGACCACCCCTAAAAAGGTAGGGTGGGTGTTTGAAAGTACTAATATTGATGTTTTTACGGTTTATGCATTTTTTCGTGATCTTAAGACTCTGCTATGTGTGTGCGTTAGGATTATGTTAAGCCTTCAGGGACAGAAACCCACAATATGGCTGAAACCAAACTAACAACGTTCTCTTGTGAACATAGTCCAGTGCTGGTAGTTCCAGACCCAGGCTCCTGCTGTCTTGTCCCACCTTCAACATGAGAATGGTACACTGTTAACATCTGAATCTCTGAGGGTGAGACCCAAGCATTGTGTTATATTTGTGTGACTGTTTTCCCTAAAATGTGGCGCCCAGGACTGGACCTGACTCTGTTCCCCGGCAGGTGAGCACCCTGAGGACCGGGACTCTGTCTGCTCATTACCTGTTGAGTCACTGCCTGGGAGGGGCCTGCTCTCCAACCAGCCGCCATGTCTGTGTTTTGCTGGTGGGAAGGAGGGGAGGGGGAAACAGAATGTCCCTTCCCTTGAGGACACTTCCCAGAATGCCACACCATTTCTGCTTATAGACCAGTAACCAGAACTTCATCAAAAGACCATACCCAGCTGTTGAGGAGTAGTCGCTCCTTGGAGCCGCCAAATTTCCCTTTTTGCAAGGAACCAGTCATATCAGATTAGAGGCCCTCTCTGTTCAAGTAAAACCTCATCTCTTTTTTTAACCTGTTTAAAAAAAAATGTTTATTGAGGGGACCCCTGGGTGGCTCAGTTGGTTAAGCGTCCGACTTCAGCTCAGGTCATGATCTCACAGCTCGTGGGTTCGAGACCCGGATTGGGCTCTGGGCTGACAGCTCAGAGCCTGGAGCCTGCTTTAGATTCTGTGTGTCCCTCTCTCTCTGCCCCTCCCTCACTCACGTCCTGTCTCTCTCTCTCTCTCTCTCTCTCCCTCAAAAATAATAAACATTAAAAAAATTTTTTTAAAAATGTTTATTATTTTTGAGGGAGAGAGAGAGAGAGAGAGCGCAAGCGTGAACGAGCACACAATAGGGGGAGGGGCAAGGAGAGGGGGACAGAGGATCCAGAACAGGTTCCATGCTGACAGCATAGAGCCTGATGTGGGGCTCGAACTCAGGAACCACAAGATCATGACCTGACCCGAAGTTGGACGTTTAACTGACTGAGCCACCCAGGAGCCCCAACCTTTTTTTTTTTTCTTTTTCTTTTTAAGTAAACTCTACCCCCAACACGGGGCTCAAACTCACCACCCTGAGATCTAGAGTCACGTGCTGTACCGACTAAGCCGGCCAGGTGCCCCTAGTGTAACCACCTTTTAACCTAATTAATTACATCTGCAATGGCACTGTTTTCAAATATAAGGTCACATTCTGTGGTCTGGGGGCTAGGACTTCAAGATATGAATTCTGAGGGGAAACAATTTAATCTCTAACAAGGGTAAATTACAGAGAACTCAATGTAAGAATGACTTTTCAAAAGAAATGGCCCTGTATGGAGTCCAGAAAGACTCCCCAGCCTGGGCAGGGTCACCTGTCCTGCAGCTTCAGTGTGGCAGCAGCAGGGGGCAGGGCTGCACTGCCTGCTGGGAGCCTCTTCTCTGTTTGCCCTTGGCTGCTGGAAGGATTTTACATCTCATAAAAGCCAACAGTTCAATGTGGGTCTATTTGGGCACCACTCCCCCTCCCTCAAAGCTTTGATGGACATCAAGACCTATGAATAAATGAGAGAGGAAGTAGGTCGGATGACCACAACCTGTGTGGGTGTATATAATAAGTTGGGAAGACGAGGCTGAGGGCCAGTGGGAGATTCATAGGCTCACTGCCTAGTGACCAAGGGTTTGTGCAAGGGAAAGAGAGAGAGGTGGGGATAAAGAGGCAGTGGCTTTGATTTGCTGCTTCTTCCCTGACAGCCTGTGGCCAGTCCAGCCCCCGCTCTAAGGAGTTAGGTGCTGACCTCGGGCGCCAGCCAGAACCGATGGGCTAAGCAGAGGACCCCGTCCTCCTGTTATAATTCCTGCATTTCCTGTTATAATTCTTTTCTTTAAAAAAAAATTCTTTTTAGTGTATTTATTTATTTTGAGAGAGAGAGAGAGAGAGAGAGCACACTAGGGGAGGGGCAAAGAGAAGGAGAGACAGAATCCCAAGCAGGCTCCTTGCTGTCAGCACAGAACCCAATGCAGGGCTTGAACTCACGAACCTTGAGCTCATGACCTGAGCTGAGATCAAGAGTCAGATGCTTAACCGACTGAGCCACCCAGGTGCTCCTTTCCTTTCCTTTCCTTTCCTTTCCTTTCCTTTCCTTTCCTTTCCTTTCCTTTCCTTTCCTTTCCTTTCCTTTCCTTTCCTTTCCTTTCCTTTCCTTTCCTTTCCCCTTTCCTTTCCTTTTTCCTTCCCTTTCCTTTCCTTTTTCCTTCCCTTCCCTTCCCTTCTTCCTTCCCTTCTTCCTTCCCTTCCCTTCCCTTCCCTTCCCTTCCCTTCCCTTC